GCCAAAATTCAGGAGTTAGAACTAACAGAGGTTTTACGATGACAGATTTTCTAAATCATCAAGAGGAGGAGATTCAATTGAGGCACAATTTCGAATTTCTCTATGTATGTCTGGAAACTTTATGGGGACAACGTGCATAAATGTTATGGTTTAATCATGGTGATGCAAATACGAAATATTTTCATTCGTGTGTTAAAAGAAGGCAGGCTGCCAAGAGTCTGACTCGAGTTAAGGATAATCAGGGGAATTGGATTGAGGATGAGCAAATCTTCAGTGAGCAAGCAGTTACCTATTTTTCCTCTATTTTTGCAGTGCCTGTTCCTTGGCTACAAAATATTCCTATTCCTGTTTTATCTTAATCTCATAGGAATTTTCTGCCACAAGAATTTACGATGGATGAAATTCAGGAAGCGGTTTTTCAATTGCCAGCAGAGAGTGCTTCTGGAATAGAAGGTTTTTATGCTCGTTTCGTTCAAAGGAACTGGGATTTGTTGAAAAAAGATATTTGTTCTATGGTTCAGCATCTGATTTTTTGTTGAAGGAGCTAAATCGGTCCATTATCACTTTAATTCCCAAATGTTTGAGTGCTGTCTTTTAGGGACCAGAGGCTTATAAGCTTATGCAATGTCAGTTATAAGATCATTGCAAAGCTACCCGTAACGGTTTGCAATCTTTTTCGGGGATTATATGCTCCATAGCAAAGTGCGTTTTCAAAGGGGCGTTTGATCTCTGATAACTTTTGATTGTTTCTCGAGTTCTTCATTAAATTCACTGCATGAGGAGAGGGAACACTTGCTGGGCTGCTTCAAAAGTTGATTTCACTAAGGCATATGATTCCATGGCTTGGGATTTTCTTGAATATACTTTAAAGACAATGCAGTTTCCTGAGGTATGGGTACGTTTAATCATGCAGTGTGTGACGTCTGTATCCTATCAAGTGAATTTAAAAGGTGTGTTTTCTAAACATTTTCTCCCACAAAGAAGTCTATGGCAAGGGGACCCGTCATCGCCTTATCTTTTTATTACGCAAATGCTCTTTCGTGGACTGCAATCACTACAGAACCAAGGCAAATGGAAGGGTATTAAAGTAGCCAGGGATTCGTTGGAATTGTCTCATTTGATGTATGCAGATGATACAAGCTAACTCCAGTCAGGTTGAGCAAGTTTCTCAAATTTTAGATGACTTTGGAAGGGTATCGGGTCTCACGATTAATCGGGCAAAATCAAACTTAATTTTTAGCGCCAATACTTTCTGCTGTTTTGAAGTATCACTATTCACAATTATTAGGGGTTAAGCATTCCACTCGAATAGGAAAAAATCTGGGAGCATCTTTGCCGTCTCTTAGAAGGAAATGGTAGTTGGTTATTACAAGATATAATGGGTCCCAAGATTATTTCTTCAAAGGCTGGGGTCGACGCGTCTCCCCTCGTAAGACGTAATTTCCTTTTTGGGTTAAAGATGAAAATTTAGAGCCTTTTAGATTAAAAATATTTATAAGTAGAGACAAATTTTTTCTTATATATTATTTTTTTTACGTCATAATCATGATTAAAAAGCTGTATATAAATCATTTCAAAAGTTTTCTTTAAAGTTTTTTTTTTTTTTACAGATTTATACTATTAAAGCTTAAAATCATAACAAATTTTTTAATCATAAATGATCATTAATAGTACTCCTCTGGTCTTATTTATAGAACAGAGAGAGAAGAAAATATTTTTGTCCTATTTATAGAGCATTTGAGAGAAATTTTATGTAGATGTGTAATTTCACTATTTATTTATTATTATATAGTTTTTTTGTTTAAATGGGGTATAATATATATTAAATAAGAATAAAATTTAAAATTTATTAAATTTTAAATTATAATTAATGAAATTTAAAAATTTTTTAATCTGTATAAAATATATTAAAAATAATTTATAAATAGGACGGTTATTACCGTGTGAATAAGGAAAAAGCTATTCAAAAAATCAAAATTTCAAATTCGTTCTCCTGTCTCGTCTTCCGTCTGCTTTAGCTGACACCATCGCCTTTCTTTCTTGGATTCTAAAACCGTGTTGGAAAAAATAAAGTGTTGCAGATTATTATTATTATTGTTGTTGTTGTTGTTATTATTATTTTTGAAATAATACTGAATAACATTACTTAACAAAGGCAAACACCAATACAAAAGAACTAAACTTAATCAAGACCCACCCCTTCGATCCAAGGTAGAGATTGATTAAAGATATAAAAGTTTTCTTCTAACCTAGCAGCTTTCGCTAAACTCTCATCATCAAATAAATGACTCCTGTCCATATGTCTAATTAAGACTTGGCAGTTCATATTGAATATGGCCCTGTGTCATATATAATATCTCTAAACGGGTGTCCAACGCCACAGCTACGAATACAAAAATTAATGGCCTCTATGCAATCCGACAACACTAGGATTTTCCTATACCCTCTGTTCCACTATATTTGCAATCCATTAATGATCCCAATTAGTTCTGCTATTGCCGGCGGGACTGAGGTTAATTTGCAAGAAAACCCACAAGTCCCACCTTCCTTCCTCACCTTTTATAACTCCTCCACAGCTACTTCTTCCGTCCATGAGCACCGAACCATCTACCTTCAGTGTGACGTGGTTTTTCAGAGTGTGAATGGCATTACTCCCCTGCAAGGTAGAATTAGATGGCTATTGACTGTGCTCAACAATTTCTTTATCCCAACAAGCTCTATGGAAGGAGTCTTGAGCGTTTGTTGGAGCATTGATAGTCTCTGTCTCAAAAACTTTATTGCAACATGAAGACCATATATCCCAGCAAATATATCCAAACAAGATAGCCCATTGAATTTTCTTTGTGTTTGCAGCTCCTGCTTCACGCTTGAGGTTCCAACCGATCCACTCTCGTCCTTGAAGTGTGAAGAAATATGGCCACTCATCAAGTGAGACCACTGATCTCCATCTGTTCACAGCATTCTTACAATTTCGCATTAAATGCATTGCTTTCTTCGCCATTGCATCCAAATGGGCAAGCATCATCTTCTTGAATGCTCCTTCGCTTCCAGAGTTCAGCCGTATGGAGCCTACCATGTGTAAACAACCACATGATTGACTTAATCTTCTCTGGAACCTGCCATCTCCATAAACTTTTCCAGATGTTGTCCCCTTCTCGTCCATTCCCTCCAAAAAGGAAAGAATAAGTAGATTTGATGTTAAAGGACCCATCAGTAGATGGTTTCCAAATAAAGTTATCCTCTCCTCTCTCCTCACAGGATGGGTGTGCACTCATGATACGCTCCACCTCTGTACGAGACAACCAGGCACTTAGTTTCTCATGGCTCCAATTCCCACAAGAATCCACATAATCCACTACTCTCTCATTACAGTCTACTAGTCCTTCCCTTCCTGGAATGAGATTGATTATAGGGGTATTCATTTCAGACTAATTCTCAAACCAAAAGGAGGTTGTTTCACCATTGCCAATTTTCTTTCATACCCCCGCTTTGAAAGAGTCCCAAACAGCACAAATACCTCTCCAAGTCAAAGATGCATTCTGTTTTTTCTTCACTTCCAATTTGTGCAGGCTTTCACAATTATATTTACTTCTCAACACTTTAGGCCACAAAGCTTCCTTATCAGTAAGGAGCTTCTAGCACAGCTTGAAAATGAAGGGCTCATTTTCTCTTCTTAGATTCTTGATACTAATCCTACTCCCACGAAATGAGGTGTAACTTCTTCCTATCTTCCTTCTCCCCCATAGAAATTTTCTGCTTTGCTTTTCAAGTTCTTTGATAAGACCCTTCAGGAGCAACATTGTTTGCATGTGATAAGCAGGCATACTATTCAAAACTGCTCTGATAAGCGTGGCACGGCCAGCCATTGTAAGATAGTTCCTTTTCCACCCTTTGAGTTTTTTCTGTGTTTTTCCAGGATAGGGGCAAAGCTTGCAGATTATTCCACTTTCCCCTTTAAATTGACTCCCTTTAAATTAAATTAACTACTGAATTTGGTTATAAGTTTTAAATTTTAAAATAAATGTAATTCATTTCATAAGCTTTAAATTAAATTTGTTCTAAAATCTATTAATTTTTAATTTTTTTAATTTTTAATGATACCCTCTTTTATGACATTCTTCATATGTTATACTACCTCCGGTTCTATTTATAAGACATTATTTATAGACAACCAGAGGTAGCATTTCATTCTTTTTTTCAATTATTACAAGATGGCATACTTAAAAATAAAAGTATATTTCTAATCTAATTATAACTATTTTTTTTATTTACAAATTAGTTATTTAAAGTTTATAATTAATACCTCTCCGGTCCTAAATATAAGACCCTTATATACGAGAGTATATAAGGGCTCGTATATAAGGGTCTTATATTTAGGACCAGAGGAGTATATCAATTTAGCTTCTCCAAACACATCAAACAATCCTCTTAACCAAGAAAATAATAATATAATCAGATGTAAAGAGAATTTCACACATGCAGAAAATATAGCTTCATAATATTTCTTAGTATGTGAAAATAAAAGAATTAAAGAATTAAAGCTCATCCCGCATTCCTTGCTCATCAATTAACGCGCACTTGGACACTCGCTGTCGTGATCTGAGGACACGGAACTAGATGATTCTCGTAAATAAGAAGGAAAAGTCATGGAAGCCACGCTACTAAAGTCAGTCTTTGCCTTGCAGTCAATGGCAGTAGCAAGTTAGGTAAGAGAAAGGAAAAAGGTTGGCTCTTTCGTCCTCCAAATCTCTCCTTTTATTGCAGTTCGTCGTCTTCAGATAATAGCAGTGAGTGTGGAGAAGAAAGCGAGATTGCTTCAACAACTTTCTCAACAGTATGGATCTCTACATAATGAGTTTTATAGATCTGCACAAAAACTTCTATATTTTTACCCCACTAGTTTTAATTTCATACCTTTGATTCATTTTCTTGTTTTCCTGATATGATTATATGTTGTTGCAGATTATTACTCTTTGGTCAAAACGAAAAGACTGAACCCCTGCTATGGCACATACTGCCGGAGGAGAATCTTCTTCCAGCTCTGATCCTCGTAATTCAACTCCTAACTGGAAATATGATGTGTTCTTGAGTTTTACAGGGAAAGACACTCGCTTGAAGTTTCTGGATCACTTAGATAAAGCTTTCGAAAGAAGTGGCATCAAAACATTTAAGGATGATAAAGATCTTGAGAGAGGGAAAGTCATAAAAGAAGATCTCTTTCAAGCAATCGAGGATTCTCTCTGTGCAGTTATTGTTATCTCTGAAAATTATGCAAAATCTACGTGGTGTTTAGAGGAACTTCAAAAGATCCTTGAAGCTTCAAAAATATTGGATCGACGGGTTTTCCCCATATTCTATGATGTTGATCCAACCGATGTAAGACACCAACGAAAACGCTTTCTGGAAGCCATGGATGAACATGAAAACAGATTCAGGGAGGACAATGTGAAAGTGCAGACTTGGAGAAGTGCATTGTGTGAAATTGCCAACTTGTCTGGTTGGGACACCAGGGGCAGGTAAGTTTTCTTTTACAATCGTTTAATCATATTTTCTATATTTATTTGAGGCATAGATTCGTTTTGGTTTAAATCGTGTATAATCATTTTAGGCAGAGGTGATGATAACATGAAAGTAGCATCCATTATAGGCGCAGATGATAATCTCCCATTAATAATAAAGTATAGATTTCTCAAATTTCTTAAATTTACATCAAGTTTCACTTTACTCTCCTTAATAAAATTAATTTTAATCATTTGGTTGGCAGAAAAAAATTTTAGTCCTTTGAACTTAACACTAATAGAAACTATTAACTCAATCATTTTAAAATAATAACATAGTTTTGAAATGCTGACATATTAATTTTTAATTTAAAATATCTAAAAAATATTTAAAATAAAACTTTATTTTTATTAATAATTTTGCAATTTTATAATTATGAAATAAAAAATTTTTCCTTACTTTTTATCGTGGAAAAAATTATCTCATTGATTTTAAAATTTAAATTATTTGAAAATTTATAATTATTTTAAAGATTAGTGTTAAATTTTATGATAAATCTAATATCATAATTTAAAAGCTACATAAAAATTAATAAGTCGTAATTTAAGATATTTTTAGATTAATAATTTTATGAAAATTTAAAAGTAAATCTTATAGAACTATGTTAGAAAATTTGATCATAGGAAATAATTATGTTTGATGGCATCTTTAATCGGGTTTTATTATAAATATTTTTTAATTTACATATTTTAAATTAAAAATTAATATGTCAATATTTAAATGCTGAATCATCATTTTGAAACTGTTAACATTTTATGTTAACAAGGTTAACACTATTAAATTTAATGGACCAAAAATACACACTTTAAACTTGTAATACTAAACTGAAACTTGAAATAAACTAAAAGGAGTAAATATGTACTTTAAGCCTTTTGCCAATATATTTATTATGTTATACTTCAAGAAACGTTGTATAATTGGTTCATTGAAGTATGGATTACTGATTCTGTTAATTTTAATGAATTTTTAATGTATTAATTGTAAGTAATATTCGTTTACATGAGTTTACATTATATATAATAATTCCTTTATAGCTTGCATGTATGAGGTTGAGAAAATTATGTTGAAGAACCTATATCTAAGTCAATATTGTTTTTCTTTGACCTTGTTCAAAATTTATTTTCAGGCACCATAAAAACTATAATTATATTGAACGAACAAAATAAACTAACCAACTTTCTTATCGTCATAAAAACTGGTGGCACTTTCATATCCCTTCCCCTATAGTTGTCACTCTGAAATTTAAATCTATTCATCAACAACATGCCAATCAAAATTTTTTTTTCTTTTAAAAATCTTTTATAAACATAGTCAATACTGTAAAAGAAATACTACATAATGGTTTTATGAATCATTTTATTGAGGACGATTTTGTTGAGATAACACTGTAAGTTAAAAGTGAAAATCAGTACATAAAATAATTATTATTAATAAGTGATTTGAATAATATAATAATAATTATCAATAATTAATTTCTTTAAAAAAGGCTATAGGATGGGACTAGACGAGTTGAACACCCCCATTGTGTTATTCCATACCTAATATACAATTTGTTTTCTTCTTTTTTTTCCTTCCCAAACACCTGTAATATTTATAGCAAAATGAGGCACCCAACTCCCTAATAGTACGCGGCTAACATTTCAGTCCTTCAAAATTATAAATTTAATCAAACCCAACAATAATTATCAGTCATCCTTCTCAGTGTAATTTTTTCTATTGTTTATTTGAAATTTCTATAAGCATTTCCCCTAACTTTCAGCTATTTTTATGAGAAATATATTCCGTATAATGAAATTCCCTGCAGCCCACTATTTAATTATCTTCTCCTAATGATAAGTTTTCTTTATGAAGATTTTTTTTTTTTTACTTTATATTAGAAGTCCCTTTATACTTGTGAACAACATCATTTAAATCTGTGAGGAGCGCTATTTCCATTGTGACAACAGAAAATTGGAAGGAATTCATTTTGATCTCTTAAGAGAAAAACCAAATTTTTAAATGACGAATGGATTAACCGAATGACAATGCGCATTGATGATTAATCAGTTGATGAATACAGACACAACAAAATTATGAATAATTCGATTGTCTTTTGGGTAAAATGATCCCATTTCTAATTTTAATGAGCAGAACGATCAATTCTTATTTCGTCAACAATTCCCTGTTATATCAAAAAATGCATTGTAGCTTTAGTAAACAATATACGTGAAAGGTCACATTTTTCATTATTATTTTAATTTATCATGACTATATTACTCATGTTAAACAATTTGTATATATATTTTTTGATAGGCGTGAAGCAGATCTTATAGAAGAAATAGTCATAAATGTATGGACTTGCATAATTCCTAAATTACCATCTTATGTTGACAATCTGGTTGGGATTGAGTCAAGGGCAGGTGATATGATGTCTCGCTTGGAGATTGGGGTGGATGACAGACATTTTGTAGGGATATGGGGTATGGGCGGTGTGGGTAAAACAACTCTTGCTAGAGTTGTTTTTGAAAAACTATCCCACAAGTTTGAAGTGTGTTGCTTTCTTGATAATGTTAGAGAAACATTCGAGAAAGAAGGCAAGGTCTCTTTGCAACAAAAGCTTCTTTTTCATCTCGAAAAGAAAGCTGTGAATATTCCTAATGATTACGAAGGAATGAAGATGATAAGAAAGCGTCTCCACAATAAAAAGGTTCTTCTAGTCATTGATGATGTAGATCATGAGAGACAATTTAAAAATTTGGCTGAAAGTCCAGATTGGTTTGGTGAAGGAAGCAGAATAATTTTTACAACGAGAGATAAACACTTGCTCACCTTATTTGAAGGAGATAAACCAAGAATATATGATATGAAAACCATGGAAGAAGATGAATCTCTTCAACTCTTTTCAAACAAAGCATTCAGAAAAGGCCATCCTCCTGATGAGGAGTATTTGAAGTTATCTGCATGCGTAGTTAAACATGCAGGTGGTCTTCCTTTGGCACTCGAAGTTTTGGGTTCTTTTCTTCACGAAAGAAAAAAAGCAGAGTGGAAAGATACTTTAGATGGATTGAAGAATAGTTATCTTGCTAGGGATATTTCTCAAATGCTTAAAATAAGTTTTGATGGATTGGATGAGCAACAACAGGCAATATTTTTAGATATTGCTTGTTTATTCAAGGGTTGGCGGAAAAAAGAAGTGATTCGAATTTTGAAAATTTGTGGTCTTAACCCGATCATTGAAATAGAGGTCTTGATTGAAAGAACTTTAGTAGTTGAAACAAAAGGTGGCACATTAGAGATGCATGATTTACTTCAGGATTTGGGTAGGAATATAGTTAAGCAAGAATCTCCCAAGAATGTTGGCAAGCGTAGCAGGTTGTGGGAGTTTGAGGAAATTAAGGAAGTATTGGGAAATAACAAGGTGAGTGCCATATTTTCTAAATATCTCATTTTCTTGACATACATTTGATGTTTTTAATGTTCTTTATTTTCTTATCATTCTCATGTTATTTTTCTTGCAAATGACATTTTTATTAGGGATCTGAGGCAATAGAAGCTATTTCTATGCAAGGTTGGTTTCGGTACGAGCACGATAAAATTGAATTACATCCTGAAGCTTTTTCAAAGATGAGTAACCTTAGGCTCTTCTTATGTACGGCATATAACAATCCGTTCATCTTCCCTAGTGAATGGAAATTTTTGGCTGGTGCATTAAAAGTTGTTGTTTGGCCATTTTCTCCTTTGGAAGCTCTTCCACTTGAAACTCAATTGAATCGACTTGTTGAAATGGATATGTCATATAGTGAAATAAAACAACTTTGGAACAACAAACAGGTAAGATTGATGCTTCATGCATGATTGTTTTTCTTAAAATTATATCTCTGTGTTCATGTTTTATTGATATACTGCTTAGTTAGACTGATCCTACCATCTTTTGTTTGATTCTAGCGTATGACAAAGTTGAAATCTATCGTATTGGAAAAGTCTCTCAATTTGACCGAAAGTCCAGACTTCTCAGGTGCTCCAAATTTAGAACATTTACATCTTGGTGGATGCACATCTCTTGTCAAGGTTCATCCCTCCCTTGGACAGTTGGGAAAGCTTGTTGAGGTGGACTTGAATCATTGTGCAAACCTTGAAATCCTACCAAAAAGATTGGAAACAAATTCTTTGGTGAAGTTAAACCTTAGGGGGTGTAAAAAAGTTGCAAAGCTCCCAGAGTTTGGGAAAGGTATGGAAAAACTATCATATCTTGATGTGGGTGCTACTTCTATAACTAGACTTCCTGAATCAGTTGGATCCTTGACGGGTCTTGAATATTTAAATTTGAGTGGCTGTAAAATTGAAAATCTTGACAAGTCGTTGAAGACTCACATAAGTCACCAAATTTCCGGCTTGAATGTAATGTCATTAACGGAGTTATACTTAAGCGGGTGTGGTTTAGATGATGGATCGATTCCTGATTTTGACAGTTTATCATCGCTCATTGTATTGGATCTAAGCGGTAATGATTTTGAGAATCTACCCATTGGTTGCTTCTCTGGTCTTTCTCGACTTGTCTTCCTTTCATTGAATCACTGCAAAAGGCTTAAGTCATTGCCAAGGCTCCCACCACGATTAATTCGATTACATGCCTCTGGCTGTGATTTAATGGAACCATTATCATCAGATGGACAGTTATGGAATTTGGTTGCTTCACTTGACCATGAGGTATGCGTTTCTCTTCCGACAACCTCTAATACGTATTTTTTCCCCTTAAAACTGCAATTACATAACATGATTAATTTTTTATTTCAGCGTCGTGGGCGAACTAAATGTCAAGTCGATGATGATTGGGATGAAGATGGGGAGGAATATGTTCCTTCTGTGCTATACAAGGTATGAGTGTCTTATTTCTGTGTTTTTTTCTCACACATGCTCCCTTCATGGGTAATTAATGTTAATAACATATTGTTTGATATGTTTGAAGGGAGCTAAATGGCCTCCCCAGCTGAGAGATTTCTGCGCAAGTCTTCCAGGATGTGAAATACCATCATGTTTTCCAAATAAAGAAGATTGCCATTTGGATATGTTGGGAAGGAAATATGAGATTGAGGTGGACATGCCTCCATATTTTCGTGACAGTGAATGGTGCGGAATTGTTGTGTGCTTCCGTATGTCAGCTTACGGTGATGGTTCTTGTGACTTTTGTTGGAGTAGTAAAGCTGCAGAAGATGATGATGATTATATACTCAAAGAGTGGGAGTGTGATATTCCTTACTCTTGTAATGACGATGATATTCCTTACTCTTCTAATGACGATGATATTCCTTTCTCCCCTTCCGAAAACCTGTGCATAATGGTGTTGGAATTGAACGAGGAAACATGTTGGCGGCACCTAAGAGCTCAGCATAGCAATTCCCTTCGCATTCTATTTTCTGCTTACGCTGAAGGTTGGGATTGCGATTGGGAAGTAAAGGAATGTGGGTGGAGAGTGATATGTAAAGAAGAGATACAAGATTGGTGCAATCTCAATGGTTTCTTCAACCAAGCCACCCAACCCCAGCTTGCTTCTTCTGGTGAGGTCAAGCTTCCGCTGAGAGCACTTGTAGACTTCTTTTTGGGGGAGGAGCATTTGACTGGCTGATTCAAGAACCGGAGAAAAATGGACGAGAATAGGTAACAATGACTCATCGTCTTCCTGCTCCTTCCGTTCTAATATAATAGTTGTCACTCCAGATATTTGTCTTTGTTTCAAAACTTTTTGCCATTTGATGAGGTTTTCAGAGAGAAACAGAATTTAATTAATTACCTTGTCGTAAATGAAAACTGAGCGCTTGTTAACATGAATAAAGGCATTTAATGAAGTGAAATACCATTGCATTTCGGTAAAATTTAAATCTTTTGTTATTTTCGTCAACACAAACCGAGATGTAACAGTGGATTTCATGAGAACAGTAAATTGTAAGCGACATGAATCATTCCTCTCATTTACTTGTGGGGATGCAAACTCAGGTGTTAAGAACATAATCATATTACTTACCATAATAAATTAGAAAAAAGAGGACAATAAAAAGAACTAGTAAATAAAAGGAACCAGAGTTATCAAACAGAGTGAAGCTTGAAAGCCATCAATTTGGCTGAAAACACCCTCCCCTGTTTCCAATTTTGAAAGAGATCCAAGTTCCATGCATAATTACAAGTTTGAGTTAGTACATAAGACTATACAACTTGGCTAAACAAATTAGATAAATTGATTTAATATTCATGATATCAAATGGCGATAGAATATTTTGGTATATAATGTGTTGATGTATCACTGGCAAAGAAACAGAGCATTTTAAAATAAAGTGAAATAAAAAGAATTGAAGCGTGCGCAATTTGTTCACAAATTTAGTTATGTGTTGATACTAAAACTCCAAAAAAAAATCTATCATATGGCTATGTTTATTTCAAGAAAAAGAAAAGAACAAATACATAACAAACAGTTCAAGAAGAAGACATAAATAGTTCATAGTTAGACAAAGATAAATATATGTTTAGCACGAATTATATTTTTATGATGAAATCAGATTGTAATAAGCATATACAAATGTATTTATGAATGTATGCATGCAGGCACATAAAATTGGTGGAAGCCATTTAGTTTATTGTTTATATATAACATAATAGGAAATGCATTGTAAATAAAATTCTATTGTTGATCACACTGAAATAAAGGGAAGTGGGTGGAGAGTGATATGTAAAGAAGACATACAAGATTAGTGCCATCTCAATCCTTTAAGCGGACTTGCCCCTCCACCTCGTGATGACGTCAGCCTTCCCTGGGGAGTGATTCGTGACTTCATTAAGACTTTTTTTTATCATTGAAGACGCGTACAAAAATTGAAGCTATTTATGTATTAGCTTTGTTATTCTGTCAGCACAACTCCAAAGTGATAATTCAAGACTAAAAATTATTTTTGCAAATAAGATGTGAGATTATTATTGACAAGCACACGTTATTAATTCACACATCAGCCCGAAATAAAACGGTAAGGAGGTGATTCCTGAAGGAAAATATCATTGTTGGAAAACAGTAGTTATAGCTGATAGTCTTTTTGTTTGATCAGCATGAAATTTTTTATATATCAAATTTAATATTTTTCTCTAAACTTTTGACCTCAAAATCATTTATAATTAATTTTTGAAAACACTATATTCAATTTCACATAATTTATAAGATATTACAATTCATTTGGCCGTGTTGCTCTACTGCAGTCCTCATCACTAAGGAAAACCCCTTTCAAGGTCATTGTTCTGCAAGCCCGTTGTGCCCAGTATGCTTGACTGAACCTGGAACTCTAGAGCACCTCTTCTCCTTCTGCCCATGGGTGCACAGTGCCCATGCTACGGAAGTATCAAAATGCCCTTGACATAAAAAAACAAAAAAAGACAAAGATGCAAAAATACCTATAAAATTTTAGCTAAAGTGCATCAAACACTATATATTGTTTCGCAGGTACAAAAGTATCCATGACAATGCAAATAAATTAATTCTTCAGGTCTTAGCAAAAGTATATTGATCAAAATTTTATTATACTATTGTAATACTAATAATAATAATTTATGGTTAATATATGTGTTTGGTCTTCTAAATTTACATTAAGTTTTAATTTCGTCCCCTTAAATTTATAAAGAATATTTTAAATCCCCTTCATGCTAATGCCGTTAGCTTCATTAACAGAAAAAAATTGATTTAGCGAATTTAAATGGTAACTTTGTCATTAAATATTGAAATATTAATATTTAATTTAAAATTTGTCAATTGAAAAAGATTTAAAATAAAACCTAATAAAGATTTAGTTTGATTTTTAACATCAACAACCTATATTTCAATATATAAAAAATTAATGCACTGAAAATAAAATTTATAATTTTATGACAGTAAATTAAAACTTGATGTAAAATTTAGAGGACTGAAACAATAAGTTAACCATAAATTTTACTAGTATTATAATAATATAATAAAATGTAATAATTTTTTTAAAACTGAAATAATTTATTTATTTACATGTTCATGGGTACTTTTGCAGCTTTACCATTTAAATTCATTGAGT